AGGGCCAGTTAGGCGGCTGTTAAGAGTCGCCCCTCTGGGATCTGAGGATCTGAAGGAGCAATGGGAAGGGAAGGCCGGGGACCCGAGAGGAAATGATGGGGGCGGGGGGGGGGGGGGGGTCAGGCATATGTCTCTAGAACGAGATGGCTGGTTAAGTGTGCTGCTGCGGGAGACGTGTGGCTCTCTAAATGAGGTGATGAGCCATTCGCAGACGTTTGGCACGCAGGTAGTGATGTGTGGGCAGCGACGGTGACAGAGTTCCACGCGTGGAATGTAAGGAGCCCATCAGACATGGAGCTCGAACGGGTCTCAGCTTCGGATGCAGGCGCGGACCATCTCTCTGCGTTTCCCATGGCAGCAGGATCCTCCGGCTTGTCACTGCAGACACCTGGGCCCCTGTCACAGGCACGAGAACGCTCAGACCATTTCTGTCCCCTGCCCGAGTGCATTAGCAGCTGTGTGATAGAAGTTACGCGGCATTCCGGAATCCTCCTGGCGAATGGCCGGAGTATGCCGTTAGCTGCCCTCTTGTCATCGTCAGCGTGCTGTTCTCAGACCTCCTGTGATTTCTCCACCAGAAGCAGTGGGCTGCAGTCCCGGCTCATGCGGCTCTCCCTCCCTCTCCCACCCCCATGCTTTGGCCGTATACAGTGTTTGGTTGAATTATCCACAGGTAATATTCTATTTCGGGTTCCTTATAATACCGGCCTTGAGTTGCCAAATGGCCTGCTTTTCTGAAGAGAACTGCCGTCTATGCATTCTTCTTGACTTCCTGTGCTGTTTTAGAACTTGAAGATTTAAGAGTCTCCCTTCTGCCGCCTCTGGCCCCCTCTGATGTACACAACGTTTTGTAAATACTCGTCCTCGGGTCTTCATTTCTCCTCCGTGTCAGAATTGAGCGCCTTTCTAGTCGTTGTGATGAGAATGCAGTTGTTTTAACATCTGTCTGTGTCGTAAGGTATGGAGAATTGAACATTTAGGTGTCTTCATGTCTAGTGTGGATTCATTAGGTGACACGCTAACACAGTTAATTTACTCATGGGCACTCAGGTGCACTTGACCGGGTCCCTCCATCCCCCTTATGCCCACGTCCCATCATGTCACCGGTGCCGCTGCTTTTTCTTTCTTTCTCCTCCACCAGCTCTTTACAGATGTCTCTCACAAGACTTTTTTTTTTTTTTTTTTTTTTTTTTTTTTTTTTTTTGCATTGTATCACAACCAGTTGTTTACACATCTGTCTGAGACAGGGCATTGCTTGAAGTCAGGGGCCAGGTCTGACTGCCCCAGAACAGTTGACTTGGATGCTCAGTAAGTATTTGCCGAGTGAATGGGTGTCATTGAAATCCTTTGCCCCGTGGCCACCCCTAAAATGGGCTTGACTTACACCCCTTTTTGTCTTTTTTTTTTTTTTTTTTTTCTTTCCCTCCTGGTACTTGATTCACGCTAACCAGAGAACCTGCCTCCCAAGTCTGCCCAGACATCTAGCCCAAATAGAGCTAACTGTGGTGGCCGGCACCCAGGCCCCTCGGCTACCCTCACCAGCCGCCGACGGTGGAGAATGGGACCTCCGGTGTGGCCTCCCTCCTGGATCACTGGGTGTCCTCTGTGGCTCCCACCACACACGGCCCAGTAGATTCTGACGCTTCGAGTGTCTTCCTCGGTCTTGCCGCAGTTAGACCCTCCTGTCACTCGGTCCGTTTGTTCTCGCTGCCTCTCTCATGCCTTCGGTTGGTGGAGGTTTGCTGGATGGGGAGCAGGCCCGTGTTTTCCTAGCAGCCGGCCGCTCTGCACTCTCCCTGGGAGATCCGAGTTCCTGGAAGGCTCCCCTCAGGTCTGCTCTGACTTTGAACTCGGAGAGCCAGCACGTGGCCCGGCGCCAGAGGGTGCTGCCTAGATGGTCAAGGAATCAAGATATCCAGGAAAGCTTCCCTCTGCCGTGCTCCTCTCCTCCCAGGGTTCTCGGGGTGTCACTTGCCTTTGAAGTCATGTTCCCTTTAGCAGTCAGTCTCCGTGCTGGCCAATTTCTGGAGAAAAAGGAAGTAAAACCTTCACATTGGTTTTGGCGGGTGTTCTGGGGAGCTGGGATTAGAGCAAGAAATCTCCCATTTCTCCGGGAAGATGCCCACGTGAGAGGGTGGGAGGCCTCATCTGGACTCAGCCCTCCCCTGGTGTGAAGTCCTGGGCTGTCCGAGCCCAGCCTGAAGCATCCTCTCCCAGCCACACTCCGGTGCCTTTCCTTTTCCAGCCAGACCCCAGCCTACAGCTTGAAGAGCATTAGTTTTCTAGGTCTGTGGTCGGCAAACTGCGGCTCAAGAGCCACATGCAGCTCTTTAGCCCCTTGAGTGTGGCTCTTCCACAAAATACCGTGGCCTGGCCGAGTCTATTTTGAAGAAGTGGCTTTAGAAGAAGTTTAAGTTTAAAAAATTTGGCTCTCCAAAGAAATTTCAATCGTCGTCCTGCTGATATTTGGCTCTGGTGACTAATGAGTCTGCCGACCACTGTTCTAGGGCACCTGATCACACATCTCAATTCTACGTGCAGTGGGCGGGTGGACACCCAGTTTTGGGTGCTGTGCCTCAGACTTGTAGAAATGTCTCCTGTGTGATCCCCCACCCAACCCCACACACCTTTTTAAAAAAACATAAGTCATTTTGAAATTTTGAATGTTTTCCTTTCCCACAAATCTTACTGTGTGTATCCCCGTGTGCTGTAAACTACTGTGTTTCCCCGAAAATAAGACATCCTCTGAAAATAAGACCTAATGCATGGAAAGATAAGACATCCCCTGAAAATAAGACCTAGCGCAACTTTGGGAGAAAAAATTAATATAAGACACTGCCTTATTTTCGGGGAAACAGGGTACTAGTTTTAGTGTTTGCTTTCGTATTTACTTTAATGTCATTTTTTTTATCTATTCAGTTATCATTTTTATCTATTCTAATGTTATTTTCTCACGTATTTCAGCCTTTCTGCCACCTTCTCTCTGCCCTCTTCTTGTGTGTTATTGATGGCGAGGCACTCAGATATTCTTCCTCTTTCTTCTGACCTGCATCACGGGACCCTGCGTTGGGTACAGATGCCCAATAGACACGACTCAGACTTCAGAGTCGGACAGGTCTTTGTACACGTTCTACCTCTGGCCTTAACTGACGTGGCTCAGTGGATAGAGCGTTGGCCTGCGGACTGAAGGGTCCTGGGTTGCGGGCTTTGAGATCATTGGAATAAGCAGTGGACGCCAGAGAGAATACCGGGCTAAGTCTAAGGAGACATGGATAGTGGACTGCCTCCTGGCCCCTCCTTGGCCTCGCGGGCCACAGAACTTTTCTCTGAGGAGCCGAGAGGGAGCCAGGACAAGCGCTGCCAGGAGGGATGGGCTTGTCAGAGTGCCAGCGGGACCATGTGGAGCCCGCAGCTCCAGCCGCGCTAACGAGAGAGGCGGGGCACGTTTTGTGCTTCATTGTACGCGTGTTAAGCAGAAGCTGGTCTTGAGGGTGTACGTAGGAAACCTCTCGAACAGTCCCTGAAATGGTAAACAAGCCTGCTATTGAGAGGGAGAATGAGGAGCTGACAATTGCATTGTTGTGATCCTGAGTGGGTTCACCGGGGAGGTCGAGGACCGGAGAAAAGGGAGAGGAAAGAATGGGGCGGGATGAATGCAGCGTGTCCCGTCTTCCCTGCACACCTGGTCAGGAACCAGGGAGGCGCCGGCATTGTTCACGTCTCCTTTTGTTTCACATCTGTGCGTCTGGCAGGCTCGTGTACCGTTTCCGAAGGGCTTTCTCTCTGTCGTGAGGAGCACAGATTGGGGGAGGAGAGGAGGGCGAGACAGGAAGAGGGAGGCTCAGTGTTTCGAAGGCAGGAGGTGCCTTCCCAGGAAGCCAGGCTGCTCTGGGTTTGTTGTTTGGGGCGAAGAGGCCAACGGGATGGACGGGTTTGGAGAACCCTCCTCGCCTGCCGGGGCACCGTGCTCTGGAGCAGGAGGTGTCCGTCCAGCGGGGAGGAGGCCGGGGCAGCCTTGTGCCCACTCCCTGCTCCTGAAAGGCTGTCAGAGAAGAGCCACGCGTGTTCTTTTGAGGAAAGTTCCACTGAAATTCACCGGCACGGTTGCTGTGAATTCCCAGCCTCAACATGCAACGTTGTGTGTTGGGAAAGGTTCAAGACCTTTCTCTTACTTTCTTTTTTTCAAAGAAATTATTTAGTAGTAGTAGTTGTTGTGGTTATTATTATTATTATTATTATTATTACTTTAAAGAAGAAACTCCGATTTTCCCAGCCATTGAGGCCACATCTCTCCACCCCTGGCCTCGGAGGCTCCTGGGATTGAGATGGGTGCCTGTCGCTTCCCACATTCTCGTCCGAATGGCAAACTTCAAAACCTCTTTCAGGGAGACCTGTTTGTATTTTATTTTAATGGGATTTATGAATACACCTTCCACCTCCATGCTGACTCAGCTCTGAACATCCATTCCAGGGGAGCACTGTCGGATTTTTATATTTTAAAATTTAAACCACTCGACTGTGAAGGCATAAAACATGTTTATATTGGCGAGTGCCGTGTGCCAGAGCCCCTCTGCTAAAGGCTTTTTTTGGGGGGGACGGGGGGGGGGAAGGTTTGAATGAGTCCAGATGCAGAGCGGGGGATGTTGCATCGCCTCCTTACCTGCGTCTCCCACGGGGCATCCTGGGCTCGTGGTGCGGTTTACGGGCGTCCTGCAGCAGCCTGTGGCCACACTGCCGTTCCCTTTCTTCCTTCACTTTGACACTTTTAGCCTCAAGAGTTTTCTTGTCACGTGGGATGGGCCCTCCAGGTCAGAGGAAAGAGAGTGACTCTTCCTCTGCACCCCCCCCCCCACCTTTCCCCAGAGAAGGGCCGAGTGTAGATGAAGATGAAAGAGGAGCTCCTCCCTTTATAAGGCGTTAGCGGAACCAATGCCGGGGGTTCCCGAGTGTCTCCCCACTGTGTTCTCCATGCCCCTGTCATGCCCCCCGTCTGTCCACAGACTCGTCCTACTCGGAGCCCCCCGACGTGCAGCAGCAGCTGAACCACTACCAGTCGGCCGCGCTGGCGAGGAACAACAGCCGCGTCAGCCCCGGGCCGCTCTCCGGGGAGCAGAAGGCCGAGGCGGTGCTCCACTGCGAATTCTGTGAATTCTCCTCGGGCTACATCCAGAGCATCCGGCGCCACTACAGGGACAAGCACGGCGGCAAGAAGCTCTTCAAGTGCAAGGACTGCTCTTTTTACACGGGCTTCAAGTAAGTGGCGTGGAGAACGGCCTCACAGAACAAGGTGGCTGCCCCTGCTCGGCTCCTCGCCACACGCTCCTTACACCCTCCTACCCGGAGCTCAGGGAGGCCCTGCCCCCCTGAGGGGGAGGGGACAGGGTGGAGATGCAGGGGCTGGGAGCAGTCTGTACCACGAAAGCCTCGTTCCAGAAGACTGCTCTGGGGGTGTGGGAGGGATGAAGAGCTGTGTCAGGACAAATGGGTTTAAAAAAAGTCAGAGCATCCCAAAGTGGACACCCCGTGCAGGAGGCAGCCGGTCAGTGATTCTCTCTCATCGCTGATGTTTCTGTCTCCCTCTCCCTCTCCCTTCCTCTCTGAAATCAATTAAAAAAATATTTTTTTTAAAAAATAAGTGAACTTCCAAAAAGGCTGAAGGGGAGGCAGCAATACTCTTCCGCCTCCGGGCTGTGCCACGGCCCTGCTTGTAGTTAGCCGATGGGCCAGGTCTTGCTTCCTCACCCACTTGCCCGCCCCCTTACCTGTGAAGAGTCATGAGGCAGGTGGTCCGTCGCCCATCTTTAAAGCAGCCCCTCTCCTTCCAGGCGCGATGAGAAAGGTGTTCTCGTAGGGTTTTTGTTGTAATGGTTTCAACAAACAATCATTTTCCAGAATCAAGTGTTTCAGGTAGACTCATAGAAATGGAAACCAGAGGCGTGCGGGGATGGGTGAAACCGGGAGGGGAATCTAGTCAATAATACTGTAAGTTTGTGTAGTGACAGTTACTAGAATTAGTGAGGTGGTCATATTATCCTATATAATAAAAGGCTAATATGCAAATGGCCCCCTCCACCAGGAGTTTGACCAGAGGGTGGGACCATCCGGCCAACAGACCATGGCCCCGCCCCCTTTCCCACTCCCAAATGGCCTCCCCTTATCCCGATTGGGGTGGGCCAGCCGGACCCTACCGGTGTGTGAATTCATGCACTGGGCCTCCAGTAAGGTATAAAACTGTGAAATCACTATATGGTACATCTGAAACTAGTATAACTAATCTATATCAACTATACTTAAAAAAAGAAGAATCACATATTTAGGGGAACCCACTTGTTTTTATACTAACTTTGAATCCAGCTGAGGGGCAAAATTCCCAGAAAGGAGTGACTCCTTTGTGACCACGGTCCGTGGTTGGTTGGGCGGTCAAGGAGCTCCTGCTCGGCAACCCTGAGCTTCTGGGCCCTTGAGCAAGGGCATCGCCCAGGGAAGCCTGCAGCCAGGTTGCAGGCAGGGGGTGTGTGCACGAGTGAAACAGTCCCTTGTCACGCTGATCGCCTGCCTGTCTCCTCTCCCCCAGGTCTGCCTTTACTATGCACGTGGAAGCCGGGCACTCGGCCGTGCCCGAGGAGGGCCCCAAAGACCTGCGCTGCCCCCTCTGCCTCTATCACACCAAATACAAGCGCAACATGATCGACCACATCGTGCTGCACCGAGGTAACCGCCTGGCGCGGCTTCCGGGGCAGGGGAGGGTGGCATAGGGTGCCCGCTCACCGTGGCAGGGTCAGGGGTGGCATTCTAGGGATTTTAATAAGGAGTTTCTCGTTTTCAAGAATTAAGTGTTCGGTTTCTGTGTAGGGATGGGGGGATGGGTGAAAAGGGGAAGGGACTGCAGTCAGTAATATTGTGATGAGGTTGCATGATGACGGATGATTGGTTACTGAAGTTAGTGGGGTGATCAGAGTGCAAGGTATAAAAATGTTGGATCACTATATCGTACACCTATACTGTTAACTAGTAAAACGAATGTGGGTCAACTATACTTAAAAAAAAAAAAAAAAAAAAAAAAAGAATGAAGTATTTGGGGGAATCCATTTCTTTTTCTACTCAGTCTGAATCCAGGCTAGTGGCGCCCCTGCAGGCTGGGAGAAGCAGCGCGGGGACATTTAGATGGGAAATCTTGGCCCGCGGGGGTCCTGCCTGGCTTCTGGTCCGGGGCCCCATGTGGCAGGGCGGCTCTGTGCCCCCTCAGAGCGTGGGAGGGGCTGTGGTTGTGCTGCTGCCGAGCAAACAGGAACAGTGGGACCTCCCCTCTGCAGCTGACTCCCTCTTCCCCCGTGCTGCCACCTGGCAGGGTCAGAGCTTCCGTCCTAATGAGCTCCGTGACTTTCCCTCCCTGCGCTGAGAACACAAGGAAGGCGGACACGGAGCTGGCTAAGGAAGGGGGGGCGGCGCAGAGCGAGATGAAATGCTAATGGGGAACTCGGTTGGTTGGCCATCCCAACTCGGAATGCAGCTCAGTGGGAGGCTGGTCTTGACAAGTCAAGAGACGGTTGGGTGTCTGCCTTGCTGAGCTGGGCTGATCTCAGCACAAGATGTGGCTCTCTGTATCTATGCCCCCCTCCCTACCCCCCACCCCCGACTCCCTGGATGAGAACACGTCTTTGGTCTCTGGGGCTCGTGTGAAGACTAAGACGTGTTTCTGGAGCCCCGGTGAATTAAAATAATTGCAGCAAAAGGCGAGGTAAACAGCTGCTGAGCTGGTCCTGAGACGGAGCTACTGCTGCCAGGACCGAACTTTCCTTAGCGTTGTGCCCAGACACACAGGGTGTGTTTAAATGGGGAGGAAAGAGAGAGACGATCTGTTTCGCTCCCGGGAAATCTGAATGAGAAATGCTCCTGGTTTGTGTCGGCTGTGGCGGGAGAGAGCCTACTGCTCATTCGTGCGTCCGCAGGCGTTTCTTCTCTCCTGGCCACACGCCAGGCTGTGCGGGGCTCCTGGGGGACGATGGGGCCTGTGAGACCCAGCGCCCGCCCGCCTCGAGGATAAGGTAGTGAGTGACGGGTATCTCGGGAGATTCACAGTGGCCGATAGGCTTCTGTTTGGGGGTCCAGAAAGGTGGAGCGGGTGGCTTTCAAACAGCCATGACCACGTTTCAGGAGGCAGTGAAGACGTAAGGTGAGGTCTGTTCCTTTCCTGGGTGACTTAAGACCACAGAGGAGTTTGTCTCACCGTTCTGGAGCCTTCAGAAGTCTGAAATGCAAGTCTCCCAGGCTGTGCTCTCCCTGAAGGCTCTGCAGCAGCGGGCGCCAACCAGCGGTCCCCGAACCACTGGCGACCCAGGAGATCCGAAAGGTTGGCGACCGCTGCCCTGAAGGAACCCCTTCTTGGCACTGGCTCCGGGCAGCTCCTGCCTCCCCTGCCTTCAGCTGCAACATGCCAGTCCCTGCCTCTGTCTGCACAGGCCTTCCTCCTTGTGTGGGGGGCCCTCTGTGCCATTGACTGAACGCTCACAAGGTGCTGCCTTTGTGTTAAGCTCTTGGGACTCATCCACACTTCGGGAACTTGAACTTGAATGGGAGGAGCGGCGATGAACAAAGGGATTGTTTCCTGAGTGTATTTCCATTGGATTTATGGTCATAAGCAGGATGCCTCATGCGTAGCTCTGCCTGTATGTACTTTGGGCACCTGCAGTGGACAGATTGAATTATGGGATGAAATACAGGGTGTTTTTTTTGGTATGTGGGGTTTTTTTTGTTGGTTTTTTGTTGTTGTTGTTGTTGTTGTTGTTTTGCCAAATATTTGCATTGTAGTTATGGAGCTGTGTGATTTGCCATCACTGCTCTCCAGTTGGCATGTGAGCATAAAGTGTCTGTTTCCCAGCCTGTAACCCCAGTGCCTACACAGACACTGACTCTAGCTGACACTTGTAAGTGGGCGTCTCTTTTGGACCAGAACTAATTTCCCTTAATTTATTTGATCAGTGTCGTTCTTCTTGAGGGGAAAAAAAAATGTACAGTGAAGATGGCCAATCTTCCATCTTATTCAGCAAAATGACATGTTCCCTTCCATCCCCATCAAATGTGTTTGCCTGTTCAAGTCAGAAGTGCGGTTTCCAGCTCTCTCTGGCTGAGGGTGGGGACCTGGCTCACGTCGGAACTTAATAACTTCTCGCCAGTAGCTTTTGTGCTTGTGTTTATGTGTCTCGACATGGTTATGCTAAGGGATGATGTTGCTGTAGTTCATCCTCACCTGACATTTTTCCTTTGCTTTTTTAGAGAGACAGTGGAAGGGAAGAAGAAAGGGAAGGTGGGAGGGAGGAAGGCAGAGAGCTAGAGAAAAACAATGTGAGAGAGACTCATGCATCGGTTGCCTCCTGAACACACCCTGACCGGGGCAGGGATCAAACCTGCCACCCAGGTTCGTGCTCTTGACCAGGAATCGAACCCAAAACCCTTCGGGTTGGTAGACTGACACTCTAACTACTGAACCACACTGGCCAGGGCAGGGAATGACTTTTTCTTCTTTTAAAGAATCTTTCGTTATATTCCTAACAGCTTTCTAGGACTCCCCCTGGTTGCTTTTCGGCTTCGAGGGAGTATCGGGTGGGCCTTTGGTCTGGGCGCTCCGAGTGTGATGGTCTGTGCACGGAGTTTGTGGAGTGAATGGCTTCCAGCTCTCTCCCTGCTTCCCTCGGACCTGGCACGCTGTGGGCGGAAACCCAGGCGCGTGTGGTCTGTCTCTCAGGAGGAATTTTTACTGAGATGCTGGACTCCACAGGGAACTGACTTTTGCTGTTTTAAGCAGAAGGGACTCCACTTTGCAACGGCAGCTCCGAGGGCTTGTCCACGGGATGTCCCAGGAGCTGGCAGCATTCCCCTTCCTGGGCCTTTAGCACCCCCGCACCCACCGTCTCCATGCGTGTGTCCCCGAAGTCAGCCTCTCGGGGTCTGTCCAGCCGCAGCACCAGAGACATGGTCTGTCCTGCAGTCGGACCGCTGAAGTCATGGTCTTTTCGCAGCCAGCGCTGGAGGCTGAGGCACAATGAGTGCGATTCAGGCCCCGGTTTCTCGCCCAGAGTGCCTGGGAGAGGTGTGAAGTCAAGAAAGGCCCACAGTTGTCGCTGCCCCGCAGGAAAAAAAAAAAAAAGCCCCGAGCGCTGGGCTTCTGCAGCCAAGAAGGTCTCCGTCCCTAGAAACACCTAGAAACGGTCCCGCCTCTCACTTTATGTCCCCCGCTCGCCTCAGGAATGAATAACCTCATTCAGAAAACGCCGTTGCTCAGTGCCCGCCTTTCAAAATCTCTCCTGTTGGTGCTTTTTCATCTCGGTCATGTTAGCTTATATTTTTCCGAAAGGAAAAGCTAACAGTTTTCTAAAAGTGACGCTAGTGAAGATCCATACAACGAAGAGCCTTGGGATGCTGGTCACGTCTTAGTTTGGAAGTGGGAAGCCCTACCTTTCGGGGCAAGTAAGCAGGGAAACGTCCCTTCTAGCAAATCCAGAGGTTGTTGGAAAGAAATCCAGATTGAAGTGGCTGCCTCAGAAGCCCACAGCGTTTGCCTTTTCACACGATCGGGAACGAGAGGCTTACACGTTGGCTGCCTGCGGACGGGACGTTCCCTGTGCTCGGGGGTGAAGGAGGAGGGAGGAGGAGGAGGGCGCCGGCCAAGGTCAGGCAGCCTGGGCTCCCAGCTCCCAGCTTGGACTGACCCAGGGGAGGGACGTGGAGGAGGCAGCGGACAGGTCGGTTCTCCGGTTCCCCGGCTGTCACCGGAGGCAGTAAGACGGGCTCCGCAGGGTGTTAGGAGGATGAGAAGGAGCTGTGGGGGCAGGGAGCACTTCATAGATAACCTGTTTCCCCGAAAATAAGACAGTGTCTTATATTAATTTTTGCTCCCAAAGATGCGCTAGGTCTTATTTTCAGGGGATGTCTTATTTTTCCATGAAGAAGAATACGGTACACATTTATTGTTAAATAAAAATAAAGGAAATTTATTACCTGTATACGGTATGGTAGTACAGTAGTTGTCAACACAAACCAGACAAACTGTGAATCCTATAGTATCAAGAATTTACTCATTTATTCAATGACAATCATGTCGTCATCTTCTGGAACATCATCATAACAATCCAATTCCTGAATTTCCTGGTGAATTTCTTGTGACTCCATTTCTTTCAGAATCAGTAGACCAAATCTCTCATGTTTAGCCTGGGGGGGGGGCTTATTTTCGGGGGGATGCCTTATATTTCACTCAGAAGGAAACCTGTAAGTAGGTCTTATTTTCGGGGAAACACGGTAGTAGCGGTCGCTCGCCTGAATCACCGCCGTTTAAATGCCATGGCATTGTCCCGGGGGCTCGGGACTGAGTAACATTCACTTCGGCACACAGAGCGGAACTGGACACTGCGAAGGCAACGAGCGGAGTGGTAGAGGGATTCAAACAGGAACTTATGTAAACGCGTTGAAAGGACCCATTCTTTTTTTTTCTTTTTTTAATATATTTTATTGATTTTTTACAGAGAGGAAAAGAGAGGGATAGAGAGTTAGAAACATCAATGAGAGAGAATCATTGATCAGCTGCCTCCTGCACACCCCCTACTGGGGATGTGCCCACAACCAAGGTACATGCCCTTGACCAGAGTCGAACCTGGAATCTTTCAGGCCGACGCTCCATCCACTGAGCCAGCTGGGCTCTCTTAAGGCTCCTGGTGTATGCCAAAGCGTTTCTCCTTCCTTTACACTAAACCACACCAAACCGCGGAGCTGAATGGTTAGAAGGCTGGTAAACATTTGCCCTCCTGGGAAAATGTGTGGATTGCATCATAACCATGTGTTTCTTAGCTGTCTGCTGTCCTCCGTTTAAAAAACAAAACAAAACAAACTTATATTTCTAAATGAGCGGCTGACTCTTTGCTTCGGGAAATTAACATGTGCATCGGAGCCCCGGGGAGGTCACGGACCCCACCTGCCAGCTCCCTCTGCCCGGCTTCTCTGCTGGCCAATTAGCAGCTGCGTTCACGGCTCCCACAGCGGCGCTTGCCCTGCAGGGAGGACGTCATGGCTGAGACTCAGGCACAGCACGGGCTGGGGAGACCTCCCTTGGGGGGGAAAGGGGGGGTGCCCAACACACCCCAACAGCAAAGGGCGGGCTCCCCCACTGAGTCCCCCCAGCGCACCACATACCGCCGCCCGGGGAACCTCGCTGCTCAGCGGCTCCGGGGATAAATCACGCTCTCTTGGCTTAATCACACGCCGCTGTTTCTAAATAACGTAAGTACATGTTGTGTGCGTCCGTTTGTAAACCTACGGACGGCCTTCTGAAATGCAGACGGCGTGGAGGCGCACGCTGTATGTGATCCTCGCATAAATAGCACAGATTTTAATTTTATCCCGGGCATGGGTGTCTGGCTCGCGTGCCGGCGCTCTGGGCCGACGGGTGTGAAATTTAATTTGGAGCACGAGGGCGAGGGTGCAGCGAACACAAGCACGCATGGGTTCCGGGGGAAAGCACCCAGATCCTCTGCTTCTATTTCCCACCCCCCACCGCCTCGTAACAGTCAGATTAGCGATTGAAAAGGCACAAATCCCCCGCGTCTCCCTCGCAGCCGCCCCCTCTGCCCGCAGCCTTTCTGTTTTGTGGGCGCTTCACAGCTGGAGCTGGAGTTTCGGTGGATGAAAGTGTGCTTCGGGCTTCTTTATTTTCAGATTTGATCTTAGACTAGACATGCCACTGGTTTCAGGGAGAGGAGAACTGTCTCTTGGAGAACATGCAGGAAAGGGGAAGGGGAATGGAATTGGAGATGATGGTGGCACGGCTCCCAGCGTGGCCGATGTCAGTGTCTGTGGGTTTTGAAGTTCTGAGAGCTCTGTCCCTCACCTTACCTGTTTGTAAGACTCGGGGATGACATGGGGATGTCTCGAGCCTCGTTGAGTTGCTAGGAAGGCGCACAGTGGGGGCGCAGAGGCACTTGGGGGATGTCCGTGTCCTGCCCCCTTTTACAGACATCCCACAGGAGAAGGAGGAATCAGTCGCTGTCAATCATCATCAATGTTGATAGAAACAGCCGCCACTTCCCATCTCTTTTTTTTTTTAAATATATTTTATTGAGTTTTTACAGAGAGGAAGAGAGAGGGATAGAGAGCTAGAAACATCAATGAGAGAGAAACATCGATCAGCTGCCTCCTGCACACCCCCTAACTGGGGATGTGCCCACAATCAAGGTACATGCCCTTGACCGGAATTGAACCCGGGACCTTTCAGTCCGCAGACGGACGCTCTATCCACTGCGCCAAACTGGTTTTGGCCACTTCCCATCTCTTATCCCTTCTTCCCTTTCCTCCACTCTGAGCCTAACAAGCACCGTCCAGCCTGCCCACCCCTGCGTGCAGAGCATTCTGGATAGTAACACACAGAAGTTTTGGTCTCAAGAAACACGGTTTGTGTCGAGGAATACGCGCGTTCAGAAGATGGAGGGGAGGGGAGTCTGTGCGGGTGGGTCACGGGCCGAACGTCGTAAGAAGCAGCGAATGGAATGTGCGAGTTTCCTCTCGTGTGTGTCGCCGTCAGTAACGGTCCCCGTCTTCCCATCGCCCCTGTCCCCGCAGAGGAGCGTGTGGTCCCCATCGAGGTGTGCCGGTCCAAGCTGTCCAAGTACCTGCAGGGCGTGGTCTTCCGCTGCGACAAGTGCACCTTCACCTGCTCCAGCGACGAGAGCCTCCAGCAGCACATAGAAAAGCACAATGAACTGAAGCCGTACAAGTGCCAGCTCTGCTACTACGAGGCCAAGCACACGGAGGAGCTGGACAGCCACCTGCGGGACGAGCATAAGGTACTTGCCGGGACTCGCTGCCCCCCTCCCACCCTCAGCATACCTGTGCGTGGGCCGAGGCGGGCAGGGGGCTGCCGGGTGTGGTCACAACCGCTGTGTGCAAGGCAGGCGTGAACTGAATTCATGTGCACAGGGAGGTTCGGTTTTTTTCTATCATAATAGAAAGGTAAGGTCATTCCAGGTGGAGTCAGAAAAATCACCCGTAAGGCTACCACCCCAATCCAACTGCTTAACACTGTGGTCTCTCTCAGGCCCACTTTTCTGTGATTTTCATCAGTTCTTTTCAACCCTTTTTGTCTCGTGGCACCCATAAACTAATTACTAAAACCCTTTGGAACTCCAAAAATATATTTTTTGCCGATCTGGCAAAAAAAAAAAAAAAGTGTAATTTTGATTCATTCACACCAGCTGGCTGTTGTGCTGGATGTTGTCCTATCCTATTTGACAGTCTAGGGAAAAAAGGTCAGTGCCCTAAGTAGTCAGGTATTGCATGTTTTAAAAACTCTTGCAGCACACTGGTTGAAAATTGCTGATGTACCCTTTTTTATTTTTTTATTTTTTTACTTAACATTTTAACATGGGTATTTTTCCATATTATTTTAAACATAGTATCTCAAAGGTTAACCAACTTTTCCTGTAAAAATGGGAATCGTGACACCTTAGTTATTTTAGGCTTTGTGGGCCAGACCGTCTCTGTGGCAACTCTGCCCTTGTAGCAAGAAAGCCACCATAGATAAGACCTCCATGAATGGGCATGGTCGTGTTCTAATAAAACTTTATTTACAAACGGGCCGCAGGCCCCTCCTCTGCCCGGTGGCCGTGCCACCGTGTCCCTCGGTTGTGTAGGCTGTTTCTTCTAATATTGTGCTAACTACGGAGCTTTTTCCAGGGCGTCCCACTTCATGAGTGGACACTAGATGGATTGTAAGATGCGTGCATTACTTGGGGAGTGGGATCAATGACCAGGTTCATGCAGGAAGTAAAAGAAAAGGTTGGCGGGGGGAGGTCTCTTTCAAAAGGGCTGCTGCTCAGAGGTGCCGTGATGCAGCAGAGCTTCCTCACTTCTCATGGGGCCTATTTTTTCACCTCGGGGATGGAGATGGTGGTTTCTGGTTCTGTGCTTGTTTCTGGCTCTGTGTGTTGCCAAGAGCAGGGGGCTCTGTGATGTGTATTTGTTCCTGGAAAGAGCCTGTTGAAAGGCTTTCTAGTTAATTAACCAAGAAATCCACAGCCCCTAGTGAATGTGTTCTTAGGGCACAAGGAGAAGCACTTGCGCTGTGGCTTCCTTCTCTCCCGCTCTGTGTCCTCACCGTGGAAATACAGCCTGAGCCCCCTCTCCTGGCCCTGCACGGCCACACTACCGTAAAGACTTCAGTCTGAGTCATCTGCACCCAGGGGTTAGGATTTTCCTGGCAGGGTGTTGAGAGAGAAGGCTGACCTCTATCGCCCGGCCACAGTTTAATGATTATTATGGTAACGGTTTTTGCATTCATTTTTTAATGTGTCTGCCCAAACATAAAAGCAGAGAAGAAAAGCCTGAATTGCCTCACTTAAAAACGTTAATATCCTTTCTTAGTCCAACTTTTGGGCATTTCTGCCCCAAACTCAATGGAAAATCACACACTGATTTCAAACCCAGCTCTCAATTTATGTCCATGTATCTTATTTATGTAACCACCTCACATATTTTTATTTTATTATTTACTAGAGGCCTGGTGCACAAAATTCGTGCACGGGGGAGTGAGGGCAGGCGGGTGTTCCCCTCAGCCCAGCCTGCACTTCTTTCCAGTCCGGGAGCCCTCAGGGAATGTCTGACTGCTGGTTTAGGCTCGAACCCAGGGATCGGACATCCCTCTCATGATCCTGGACTGCTGGCTCCTAATCGCTTACCTGCCTGCTTGCTTGGTCACCCCTAACTGTCCCCCCTTCCCGCCGGCCTGATCACCCCTCATTGCCTCTGCGTGCCAGCCTGATTGCCCCTAACTGCCCCCCACTGCTGGCCAGGTCGCCCTCAACTGCCCCCTCCCTGCCAGCCCGGTTGTCCCCAGCTGCCCCCCCTTGCCAATCTGGTTGCCCCTCACGGACCTCCAGCCGACCTGGTCACCCCATGCAGCCTGGTGTTCAGTTGTTTGGTTGTTCCTCACTAAACCCCCCTGCTGGTCTAGTCATCAGCAGCCATCTTGTGAGGATGTGAGGGCTAATTTGCATATTGCCTCTTTATTATATAGGATTGTGCTTAAAACTCAGGCTGGTGGTTTTAGGCTAGAGCAAGCCAGGATGATCATTCTTCCCTAGTCGTTGCAGGGTAGCCTGTGAGTCACTGGGGAAATCCTGGCGTCAGAAGTCATGTAGATGTGCAACCAGAGGCTCCCTGCATAGGCGAGCAAGGCTGGGCTTGGGCATCGGCACCGGGGAACTGGGTTGCTCAGGAAAACAGGCCTCATTTAGAGCATTTGGAGCCTAACAGACCTGGGTTTGAGTTTTGTCTCCCCTATAACTTAACAATAACTTAGGCAAGTGACTAACATTTCTGTGTCTGGTTTGTGATTTCTAAATGGGAATCGTGACACCTTTCTTGGCAGTTTTGTGAGATTAAAGGAAGTCCTGGTATTTCCCACATTTTGAGACCCAATGTGTTCTTCAGTGTGTCTGTGAGCTGATTTGTGTTCAAGAAGAACAATGGCTGTACGTGTCACAAAGGCAGTTACGTTCCTGGAGACCTAACGTGTATGATAAAATCACTGAAGGTACCTTGCATTTCAGACACGACTTTGATGTTATATGTTTAGCTGCCAAGTTATACTAGTTTTACTCTTTCTTGTGCTTGACCAGCTTGTTAAGTCCGCTGACCACCCAATTGATGCCACAGAATTGCCGCTTTCACACGGCTAATGGTTTTCATCTTTGTCTCAATTGCCCTTAAGTTTATGAGACTCCTGCTTATTACTGATGGCAGCACTATCTTTTTCCCATTTCTGTTCCTTCTTAATGATAAGTGCAAAATGCAGTTCACATTTTTAAATAATTATCCAACACTATTTCATAAACAAAGATAGCAGTGCTGCTGAAATAAAATTCTTGACTGGCAGGCATTTATGCACTATTAAAAATATTCATTAGGGTGAAGGATATACAAAAATCTGATTTCAACATTCATGAAACAGTCTACAATGTACTGCAGAAATGTTTGCTAATAATTCAGGTACAAAAGTCAAGGACCATAAGACAAGAACAAGAAATTAAAGGCATAAGAATTGGAAAGAAAAAATGTTTTTGTTCATAAACAATGTGATCTTTGTAGTAGAAAATCCTAAGTACTCCACTTAAAAGTTACTAGAATATTAATGAGATGAGTTTAGCAAAGTTGCAAGATATAAGGTCAATAAACAAAAAATCAATTATATTTCTATATGTTGATGATGGAAATCTGAAAATGAATTTTTAAACAGGTCAATTTCATTGCTAAAACATCAAAAAGAATAAAATGCTTAATAAATTTTAACACAAGAAATGTGAAAGCTATACACTGAAAACTACAAAATATCATTGAGAGAAATAAAAGAACTATGTTAATGCAATACATACCATATTCATGGACTAGACTCAATATTGGTGGTCTCCCCAAATTGATCTACATATTCAATGTAATCTCTGTCAAAATCTCAGTAGGCTTTGTCCTTTGGTAGAAATTGACAAACTGAGAATAAAATGTATATGGAAATGCAAAGGAACAAAATTGGAGGACTCACTCTTCTTGATGTCAAAACTTACTGTAAAGTTACAGTAACCAAGAGCATATGCTGTTGGCATAAGGATAGATGCCTGGATCAGTGGTGTAGAAGGACAAGTCCAGAAATAAATCCTCAGATATGTGCTCTATTGATTTGCACCCCAGTGCTATAGGCAGAGATGATTTTTCAACAAAAACAGTTATTCACAGCTGCTAGAACAGTTAGACTTCCATGTGCAAAATAATGAGCATTGACCCTTACCATTACTCCCAACACAAAAACTAAATCAAAATGTATTGTGAACCTCAATGAAGGAGTTGAAAGTATAAAACATCTACAAAAAGAGGAGAAAGTTGCCCTTTGGTTAGGGAACATTTTTCTTAGATAACAATACAAGTTATGGATAGTAAAAGAAAAAAAATAAATTAGATGTCATCAAAATTAAATTTTCTTCAGAAATAAGAAAATAAAAAAGAAATTAAGAAAATAAAAAAGAAAGCAACAGATGTTAAGCAAATATTTGCAAAGTGATTGCTGAACAAAGGACTTTAACTAAAAAATATAAAGAACCTTTACAACTCAGTAATAAGATAATTGAATTAAAGTGACAAAGATAATCTCACACAGGGCTGGTTGGAGTATAAAATGGAACATCCATTTGGTAAAAAGTTAAACATAAACTTATCATCTGACCCAGCAAGTTTCCTCCCACATAAAGTTGACCGGTAAAACATGATACATATATCCACACCATGGAATTATACTGATTATCAATAAATTTAAAAAAAAAAGAATGATGGACACATGCGCCAATGTGGGTAATCCTTTAAAATATCGTGTTAAGTGTACAAAAGCCAGGCACAAAAGACTACAGATTACATGACACCATTTATATGAAATCCCCAGTAAGGCAAAACCAGAGATGAAACAGGTCAGAGGTTGTCTGGGCTGGAGATTGGGCTCAGGGATTCATTGCAGAGGGTGTGAGGGAACCTCTTAGATAGAAGGGGTCTTAAACAGATTGGTTGAAGGATGCACAAGTGCATGAACCCTGAAACTTGTTGAACTGTTCATTTAAAATAGGTGATTTAAAAAATATTCCATAGATTAATTTTATAGTAAAGAAAGCAGAACTCAGCCCCTAAAAGATGCACTTTTCCCAGGACCCAGCACCTAACGGCCCTCGATAAATGTTAATTTCCTGCAGCTTTCGTAAAGTTGATCCTGGGCAGATAAGTCTATAAGATGCCTGAGATCCAGGTTTATGTG